AACTGGCCACTAGAGAAAGCCAGAGAGCATACTATGTAGTCTTCAACACCAAGAATACATAGCATGGTCTCTGGCTCCATCTAGTGGCCAATTCTGGCAAATACACCATGAAAATACATTTCTAATTTTTTTTCTTTTAATATTTTCAAACTGTAGATAAGTGAAACTGTGGATACTGTTTCTGTAGATACAGGGGGTCCTGCTGTGCTTTCAATATGAGTGGTGGGAAGTAAGGGAAACTGCAAGCGATAGGTGGCCTGCGTCCAGTTGTGTGATACACCCAGGGCCCTAGGACTCCAATTTCCATTTCCTTTCCTTCTCTCCTGAGAAACAACATTCCATGGATGCTTATCTATGCGCTTTGGATTTTTCTAATAATCCAGAGCCCTATTTTGTTGCCGATTTCACATGGGACGAAGACTAGGAAGACATGTCAATTCGTGGTCCTTTGAAGACTCGTAAACAATCTCCCCACCTTTCAGTCGCTTGCTGTGTGCGTTTTCCCCAAAGACAAAAACTGAGTGGAGGCAATTGCCTCAACCCATTTATTGCATTTTGCTATGAGGTGTATTTTTGCCTCAGCGAATAGAATATATAGGGCATCCTCCCCCCCAAAAAAAAACCCCATTGAAAAAACAAAATCAATTTTAGGGAATCCATGGTGGAGTTTATCAGCCTGGACTGCCAGACGCTGGCAATTAGGTGACACAATTTTGAACCAAAAACAAGTAGCAGTCGAGACAATGAGAGTCTTGGTCGTGACAATGGGGGACACAAAGATTCAAATCAAAACATGCAAAGATTCTGCTCAATGGCAATGTTTTTCATTGGGCCTTGAAAACTGAGTCCTTCACATAAGCACCTGGTAACTAATTTTAAGGATTTGGAAAATAGTTTAAAACACCTACAAAATGTATAAGCTTCCGATAGAGGTTGGAAAACCACCTTCAAAAAGGTAATTTGCTACGGTTATAGTTCCCAGACCACACAAAGGAGTTAAATGCCTTTCCAGGTATATTTTAAAAGATGTAACTCTTTACATTCATGTTGCTTTGATGTGACTAAATAGTTTCTTTGTAACTAATGTAAGAAATGTGGATGCTACAGGCTGCCGGGAAATACACTTTGGGCTCGGCCACCCCATTGCCTTTCATCTTGGCCAACCACAATGGCCAATGAGACAGGGGAGCGAGGGACAGGCTGTGATCTGGGGGAATTTTGGGGGTGAGTCTCCCCCATCCTCATCTACAATCTACCTCTCAGCAGCACAAGCCAACACCTCAACTGTGTGCTGTTCTTCCTTCACTGCAAAAGGAATTTTTGGTCCAGTTGCAAGTGTAATGCAATTTAATCATGTCTCAGATATTTGGGAAAGGAATCTGTGGTTCTCAAGTAGTTATTTGTATCTCATTGCTTCCAAGCTCTGGTTTCAGGCTGCTCAGAAGGAGATGATGATCACGATTCAATTTCTTCCTCCACCTCCCTCCAGCAAGGACAAGAAGGGCACTAAGAGTAGTGGATAAAAAGTAAATGCTCTTGAATTCCAAGCCCACAGATCCCCTCCACAGCCATGCTGACTGTGGCACCATGGAAGGTCTGACCCCAAGGAGAGAACTCTGCTCCCTCTTTGATGGTGTAGGTACTTCTGGGGGAGAGGGTGGACAATTCCTTGCAATAACATTCTACACGTGGGAAATGACAGTTTTTAAACCTGAATGTATGCAACATCTGCATGAAAGCATCAGGAGTCCATGAGGGTTAGGCAGTGCTCTTATAGAGGAGGTGGGCAGAGCCCAAGGTTTTCCTGTACAGACGTTGCAGGCCAATCCCCACAGGAACAACCATTACTGTAAGTGGTTCTCCAGCTGGGGTCCCCAGATGATGTTCTTGGACTACAGTTCCCAGAAGCCCTTATCCCTTGCTGTCCTGACCATGATTTCTGGTAGCTACCATCCAAGAACATCTGGGGAGAGCCAGTTTGAGGACCCCTGCTTTAGGGTGAAACCACATGAGCCTCAAGACCCACTCGGGCCAGTCATAGTCATTCAGCCTACATCGCAGGGTTGTAGTGGGGAGGCGAGTGACCAATGCGACTTTACAGTCATTGGATGAAAGATAAGCAGGAATTTAATAAACAGATTTTTTAAAAAAAATAATAAAAAAGTAGAAAAAGGAAATGGAACACACTCGTCCTTCGGTTAATACTGAGGAGCTGTCCAGGGTCCTGAATCTGATTCCTCAATTTAGGTTAGAACCTTGTCTCTCAAATAGGTTTAGCACCTTGAATAGCTCTTTTAAAGCTCATAGGAAAACCCAGAGTGGATTTACCACTCCCAAGGAACTGGAGTCACCAGTCTCCACTGTTGTCATGGATGACCCCTGCCTTAGACTTGGCCCTATGTTGCTGCCTTCTTGGGAAGGGACACCTGGTTACCATACACGCAACATCAATTCCACTTTAATCCAGAACCAACACTAAACATAACTAGAACTTTAGGTGGGAGACTCTGTGTCTCCCAACACAAAACAGAACCTATGTTCTAGAAAAAGTCCAGACAAAATTTTGCTGATTTCCCTCTGCTCATGCTACATCATTGAGTTTTACAGTTATTTTCTTTTTAAGGAAGAAACAGAGAGAGAGAGAGAGGGAAGATCAGAAATAATGCTTCTATACATAAGTTGCAGTCCTAAGAACGCAGGGAGCTTCACTCCTCTGAGTAAACACATATAAGATTGCATGGTTAATCGTGTCATGTGCCCCTAACTCCTCCTTTATCTGAAACTGCTTTGTTCTGCTTTTAGTGGTTGAATTCCTTTACACATAGCAAAATTTGCATTTGTTATGGGATGCTGGATTGTTCTGTAGCATTATTCTGTTAACGGAAAAAAAACTTAAAATGTAGATTTTTTTTTTAAAAAAAGGATCTATGCACACACCTACACGGAGCTGGCCCACTGAATCAGTGAGATTGGGGAGAAGTCAACTCCTCCATAAGTTGCAGTGATTCAAATAGGCCTACTCTAGTGGCAACGTCCTACACTGAAGTAGAAACAACTCGAGTATGAATCCATAGGACTTATGGAAGAGTTGACTCAAGCAAATCCTCACTGATTGAATAGGCCTACTCTAGTGGAACTTACAATGCTAAAAAAAAAATAATAATTAGGATTTCAGACAGTGTTTCTAAACCCCATGCCTCAAGGAAGGGAAACCTTTTTCATGAGCACTTCGACACATGATGGCACACTGTTTTGAAAATCTTGTGCCTGGGGATGAATCTTTGGGAGTGTGAAAGAGCCCAGGTCACTGTGGTGACAATAAAGAAGCTCCATGATTTGCAATCAAAAGTTGTGTTTCATGGACCATCAGGGCTGCTGTTCCCATGCAAGTTAAGCTTGCTTACTCCTATTAGCAACCATCCCAGGTATTTGTTCACATAGCTCTGTGTAGAGGCGATGGTGGGCTGGTATTATACCATTGACTCCACGGCCAAGTATTCTTGAAACCACCTTTCCTGGATCCTGATCCAGACAAGTCAGGGTACGATCAGATGGTTAGAAAGGTCTGCATCCAATTGTTCCAGAAAGGGTCACTTTAGTGGATGCAATCTTCCGTAAAGTGACTCATCCATCTGCTGGAGAATCGCTCAAAAAGGTCTAGCTCAGCCACAGATTGAGGTCAGTGCATTTCCCTCCACATTGTGTGGTTGTTGGGACCACTCCACAACTGATCCCAATGACCATCTATTTCCCTTAGTCTTTGTTGCCTAAATCCCACAGACACTAAACAGACATAGGAACTATAATTCGCTTTAGATGCATGGGGAGAATTTTTCAGGACAGGTCCCTGAAGAGCAAAGGATGCCTGCAGCTGTCTGATCCCAAATTGAAGCCCAGAAAAGTTCCCCCACTTTTCCTCCCTATGGACAACAACTTCCAGAATCCACCAGAATTCCCAAAAGCCAATCCAAAAGAAGGAACGAATCCAAGCACTTCGAAAGATTCATGCTCAAGAAGACTAGACGGAACCTCAGATAAACCATCTTGGAACATAGGAACAAACCTAGGTTTGCATCCAGGTTTCCGTCCTGCAAAGAATCATTCCATTCTAACTCTCCTTGTTTCAAAGCAGTTGGGTCACATGTGGAGTATTTAGGTGCGCAGAGATCAAGCAAAGAGGAAACAGGCAAACCAGTATGGTGTACACCTAAAAATACATGATGATGCATGCATTACATAGTCCTGCCTTCTGGGTAACATTGTTGGACCGATATACAGTAGAACACCTGTATCTGTAAGAGATTGGTCCCATGCCCCCCAGCGGATGCTGAAAAACACAGATCACAGCAAACATTGTTATAATAGCGAACACGATACATAGCATGATCTCTGGCTCCCTATAGTGGCCAAATCTAGTAGTTTCATCTTTAGAAATAAATATTTGGGGGATTTTCCTTTTAATATTTTCAGACCGTGGATAAGTGAATCAGCGGATATTGATCCTGTGGATAAGGGGGTCCTACTGTATTTGTTTTCATCAGAAAGAAAAATAACAAGAGTTCTTTTTTAAAAAAAAACAGCAATCCTATTTGCTGACTTTCTAAAAGGCACCAAAAAGGGGGTTCAGGCCACCCCCCTTCCAACGAGTTTCAAGGGAGGGGGGACAGGTTTATGTCAGGAAGCCGCAGCCCTCCACTGATTAAAGCTTGAAAAAAAAGAGAGCTTGTTTTGGACTACAAACACACCAACACCACTAGCAGTTATTGTTGAGGAGGTGCAATCCAGAAAAGGATTTTTCAGTGCACCCAAAAGGGGGCGCTCAAGGCATACTAACTTGAACAGTCTTAAGAGCGACACAGAATTATTGCGATACATCGGTACAACATAGGGTTCCTTCTCATTGGCCCCAAATAGGCAGGGGGTGGAAAGCCAGCATTCCTCTGAGCAGTTTGTGTGGACGTGACTTCCACATCCACGACCTCTCCCCCCTTCCCGGGGCGTAAAGCGAATTTATCTCCATATCTCTAAATTTGAAAATATCCTGATTCTGGCCATCCATCACGTTTTCTAGAAATATAACGTTAACACAACCGACTAAACAACACAAGAATTGCTTTTTTTCAACAGAATCTCTCTTTTTTTGGTTTTTAGCAGGTGGCACTTTACCGGACATTAGGGGCGGTCCTTCCGATGCCATCGGACCACAAGGCCCATCATTCCTCACCTCTGGAGGTTGGGGCTGATGGGAGTTGTAATCTAGCATTATAGCTGTTCGGGTCCGGCCCCCTGACCTACACACTCTGAGATAACGAAGGAAGGTCTTAGGGGCACAACCAGGTCGCAAAGAGCCCTTATCAGTTCCCAAGGCAGGAACACACCCATCTCGTGGCTACAGAATCTGCTTTCAAAACTGGACAAACAAAGAATAGGTAACACAACGAAAGAGACACTACCCCCCCTACATACACACAATACATTCGTAGCATTGACATCTTGGAGAGCAAGACCACCGGTCTTTCTCTCTCTCTCTCTCTCTCATAAAATGCATATCGTACAGGAGTTACCAGTTGTCTTTATAACTTCAGTAGAAAATTTTGCTCGGGATGAGAGGGCAGAAGAGGAACACGCTCCGCATCTATTTCCAGGCTCACAAAATCTTCTTTTCTTCTCTTTATCAGTTGGAGGATGGGGGGAGGGAAGGAAGGAAGATCCACTTACGATAATATGTAAAAAAAATGCAAACCAAGTTATTACGCCTGCCAGGTGCTTTGCTATTTTAAAACAACGCCCTTCTTTTTAAAGTAATAATAATATTAATAATAATAACAACCCACACGTGTGTTTGTGCTCATTTGCTGGGATCTTAGATTCTCTCCCAACAAATGGTTTGAATTTGTGTTCTCTTTTTTTTTTGCCCGCGAAGTGGTTCTTTCAAATACTGAACGAGATGTCCAGGGCGCATGACTAGGCGGCGATGTATTCCTCGAACCTTGAGTTCATGATTTCATAGTACATATAGGGACGACGATGACCAGGATGACGGTACAGGCAGCTGCTGTGATCAGAGCTGCTATTTTGCAAACTTTCGCTCTCCTAAATTCCGCTTCTTTGCGCTTTAATAACGAGTCATAGCCCGGGGTGTATATATCTTCCATCCAATACTCCAAATTGTTGGGATTTAAGGATTCTTGAGTCTGGAAAATCAAAAGAAGGAAATCCATTATTTCTCCTTTCTCTTGGGCTTCCTGCTGTAAGACAGGCAGATATAAACTTTAAAATGAAGACCAGGATCCAGCCCAAGAAAAGTTTTTTTTTTTTAGTCCTGTTGCTCTCAGATTGATTTCTCATACTCTACTCCACCATCTCCAACCTAAAATACTTCATTTGAAGCCAGTCACTGTGATTTCACAGATGGTCAAAATACTACAGAATTTGCTCTGCTTATAAATGGGTGAATTAGAAGTTTTTTTTTTTACTAACCACATGGTGCAAAGGCTGATTCAAATCAGTCCAGGAACAGTCTGAACATCCCCAGTAGTTTCCTATTAGATTGGCAGAGGCATGACCAGAGGAAGGAAGAATCGGCAGAGGTGGGACCAGTGGAAGGAATGAATAAAGAGGGGCTAAGAGCTGGAATGTGAATCACATCCAGTATGAAGAGGGAACTCCCGCACGAATCTGCAGCACCTGTATGAGCACTGGCAGCTATTTCAAATGTAAGACAGGCTGCAAATCAAATTGCGCTGTAGTCGTACCCTAGCTAAATTCGCCATTAAGCCATGAACCTCACTGAGCCACCTTTGGACAATCAGCCTCTCTCAGCTGACCTACCTCTCATGATCGTTGGGTGGAAAAAGTGAGAAGTAGAGCAATTAATACTGTCTGTCACGTGGTGGAGGAAATGTGGGGTATCCAAGCCATTTAAAAGCACTTCAAAATGAAGAAAAACATTTCAATCCACCAGCCTAAATTTTAGCGGCTCTGAAGGATGAAGAAGCAAAACAAAAATGGAATACATAAGCAGAACGGATGTTTATATTGCTGCAAAAAAAGAGAAAAGATTAAAATTCTCTGTCTAGACAACCCAAATGATGTGAAGGGGGAGAACTAATTTCAGCAGCCCTTTAAAGATTGATGCATATTTCAATTGGATTTTTAATCTGTTTTTTAGAGCTAAATCCAATTTTTATTCCTAACCAGAGTAGATTCATTAAAAGAATGGGATGTGTTAAGTGAACACATGTATACATCCTGTTGATTCAATAGGTCTTTTCTATTTGGGTTAATTGTTGTGTCTGCTTTTACTTGATTTTCATTGTCACTTCAAACTTGGCTCGATAGCTCAGTGGTTTAGGTCTCTGGCTTCAGAGCCAGGGGCTAGGAGTTCGATTCCCCCACTGGGTGCCTCCTGGGAGAAGAGCCAGCCTGGGTAGCCTTGGGCCAGCTGCACAGTCCCACAGCGCCCCTAGTGGAAGGGAATGGTAATACACTTCTGAGTCTACCTGGAAAACTCTGAAAAGGGTGACTATAAGTCAGAATTACCTTGACGGCACATGATTTTAGTTGTTATCTTGAGCATCGCTTGTCGGCAGAAAGGTGGGGTATAAATATAGCATGTTCAGGGTTCAAATGGAGTTCCTTTATATCATTGTGTTTGGTTGATATTAGCTACATTTATATCCCAAGAAGCTCAAGGCATTAGATGTGACATTCCACCATTCTGCCCACCCAAGGATGGGAAAGGGGGCTGGAGGGAGAATGAGTGGCCCAACGTCACCCAACAAAGTGTGTGGCCATGTAGGGATTTGAACCTTCATCTTCATCATCTTCCGATTCCCCTGAACTCCTGCATCATCAAGGCAGGAGTTCGGGGGCATCGGCCAAACTGCAGGTATGAAAACCGATTATACTGGCTCTTGGTCCACAGACACTGGGATCACCTTTTCCAAATCTACAAATGTAATAGGGTACCTTAGGTTTTTTTTCTCTCTCAGCCTCCATAGCACATCTGTGAAATGGGGCTGAGAATACTGGCCTGCCTTATAGGGTAAGTTTTGGGCAGTGTCAGGGCCAGCATTGGGGACTGGCATCACAGGATACCCCTCTATGCCCTGGCTCTCCAGGGCACACATGTGAAGCAGTAGCAAGAATACCGGCATGTGTTATACAGTAGGACCCCCGTATTCACTGGATCAGTATCCGCTGATTCACATATCCACGGTGTGAAAATATTAAAAACACTAAACAAAAATTGTAGAAATATGTATTTCTAAAGATGAAGTTACCAGAATTGGCCACTAGAGAGAGCCACAGACAATGCTATGGATAGTGCTTGCTATTAAAACAGTGTTTGCTGTCATCCGCATGTTTCAGCATCCATGGGGGGCTTAGATCTGATCCTTGGTGGACATGAGGGTCTCACTGTAGTTTTACGTGGAGGTGGGACTGCCCTCCAGGACCAGCAGCTGAGATCGCCTGTTCAGTAGAGGCCATGAAGACATAAGTTATCACCAGCAAAAACCCAACATTTACCTGTAGATCCAAAGAAGCCAGTTTGCCTTTCTCGCCTGAGTTTCTCGTGTATTCCTCGATGGTCCAGGACGGCTGGGTCCTCTTGACTTCAGCCAGTTCCGTCAGCCGCATGTCTGTGTAGAGAGGGTTGGTCTTCATGTGGGACTTGAGCGACGCAGGGTACGGGTGGGGGCTAAAAACCTGTTCGATCAAGAAGGTATCTTTTGGTGGTTTCGAGTGCCTGTGCGGTTGAGGGATCTCATATTGCCGGTCTGCCTGCAAGGAGGGACAGAGACTTAGAGAAGTGAAGGAGGCCATTGGGAGAGGATGACAGACTTAGCTAGTCGCCCTAGGCGATCTGGAATTCCTTACAAGGAATGCTTATGGGATCCTGTACCAGCCAGTGAGCAAAGAGAAGAGATTGGCTGAGTCCCCTTGGGAGGAAGACCTGCCATGATGGAGCCACCATCAAGAAGACATGTCTCTACTTTTGGACAAAGTGATCTTTACTCATGATGGGCCAGTGATTAGGGCCTCCAAAGTCAATAGTAAGGCTCGGGTAAGGTCTCATGGGTGGTCGTGGAGAAAGAGCATTTCTCAAGCAACCTTGTCTTTGATAAGACTCCAAAAATTAAAATCAGCACTTTAAAAGGGGTGTAGTTGAGATGATGACCAGGAGTTAGTATCGTACAGGAGTGGGCAACAGGCTGCCTGTAAGCCCCATGTCAACCCCCAGGACCCAATCTGCCACTCAGCACCCTGGGGGAACCATAGGGCATGTCAGAAGAACCACCCCCCCACTGCTCCAGAACACACCAACATCTGGAACCCTGCCTCTTCACCGAGCATCCCTTTTACATGAGGAAAACAGTCCTCGCAGGAGGGTAGAAGGCTCCCTTCATTGTGCGTGGAGCATATAAATACTGATACTTACAACCACCACCACAACCTTAGAATGGCAGAGCTGGAAGGGACCCCAGAGGATCATCAAGTCCAACCCTTGTCAAGGAGGCCCAGTGGGGAATCGAACTCCAAACCTCTGGCTCTGCAGCCACATCTGCCATCCAGTAATTCTTATGGAACAGGCCAACAAGTTACAGAATGTACATCTTTCACAGCCCACAGGCAGAATCCTATCAGTGGCTTACGCCTGCATAAAGGAAATCACACTAAGTTGCGAGAGGAATTTGCTGCCCCTTAGTGGGATTCTGGTTGCTTCCGTAAAGGCCAGGTTGATTCCACAATGGGTCACACGGGCCAAGAAGACAACTAGACATTTACCACCACAACATACGCCATTTTCCTCACACAATTGTGAAACTGGCTGTTGGACTCTGGCCAACCTCTCCCTCTCTCTTTCCTCCTACAAGGACACACCTCAGACAAGGACAACTGGAAGTCGTTGATACATTGAAAACACTAGCCTATATTGACATGTTGGCGTTCCAGTGTGCTTCGCTCTGATTTTCCGGCCAACGACAAAATCAAAACCACAACCTGCCAATGCGCATAACATTTCCTACAAGAAGATCAAGGGTGAAATGTTTTGATGCAGTCCATCAATCCCTGAAGCTAATATACAGCATTCTGAACTATTTCACCCTTGGCATTATCTTTTATTAAATTGTACACGCGCTTGCTAGACAGGGTCTTTGCTTTTCAGGGAAAGTAGTTTTACAAATCTGTTTAGGAATACCTGATCAAACCTCCGTTCTTTATCATAAACAGTTAGCAGGGAATCATGTGTCATAACATGGCAACCCGCTAGCTGCCATGGAGTGCGTATGGCACACAGGATCCACACCACTTCAAGGGGGAAAAATACTGTTGAGTCTAGAGTGATTGTTACTCTCTCCAGCAATGACTGCTTGTTCGCTATGGCCTCTGATTTCAAAGAGAATCCCGCCTCTCTTTTTAGCTTGCTGTTCTCTGTTCACTGTAAGTAAATGAAACTTTTTATTCTTTCTCCTACTAATGACTCCAAGTGAGTTATTGAAACTGTAAGTGCCAGGTGATGAGAAGAAAAAAAAGGGGGGGATTAATCTGGGGAAGTTGAAGCTATTCTGCTCTGTGAATCCCTCCACTTCTGCTCCACGACAAGAGGAACCTGACCAAAGTTCCAAACTTGGCAACCAACGCCACACAACCAGAATTTTGAATAGCAAAGGAAAAGTTGCCTTCACCGCTTAGAGGATTGGAAAGGGTGTGTGTTTTCTTCCACTTTAGTCCTTAGCCCCCTGTCCGTTCGAGAAAGAGAAGAGCACAGAGATGTCATCATGTGTGGTCCGGTCAGAATTGACTTACAGCAACCCTAAGACAACTTTCAAGGCAAGTGTGTGATTTATGGTGTGGTTTTACCAGTTCCACGCCCTTCCAGAGTGTTTCCACAGCCGGGCAGAGATTCAAACCCAGGTCTCCTGAGTTCTAAATCCTTATCAGCCACGCTGTCCCCTACACCCCAATTATCCTTGTCAGCCACGCTGTCCCCTACACCCCAATTTGTATCAAAAACAGAGACACAGATGGGAAATCAATCTGAGAATCTCCAAGTTCCACCGACTGCATGGCTGCTGTTTCAATTTGTGCATTTCCAGGAACAATGACTTCTTTGTTTAAAAACGTCTTCCACTGGTGGTCTGATTTAACAGGGCAGTTAGAAGCGCCATCTTTGAATTGCTGGATAGTGCAGTGGGGTTGAGGTGTCTTATTGTGGAGCCAGAGGCTGGGAGTTCGATTCCCCCTCTGTGCCTCCGTGACAGGGGCTGGACTTGATGATCCCATGGGGCCCCTTCCCACTTCTGCAGTTCTAAGATTATAACCAGAAGTGACAGCAAAAGTGTTATGTGTGGGCAGTTAGAAGCGCCATCTTTGAATTGCTGGATAGTGCAGTGGGGTTGAGGTGTCTTATTGTGGAGCCAGAGGCTGGGAGTTCGATTCCCCCTCTGTGCCTCCGTGACAGGGGCTGGACTTGATGATCCCATGGGGCCCCTTCCCACTTCTGCAGTTCTAAGATTATAACCAGAAGTGACAGCAAAAGTGTTATGTGTGGATAATTCTAAGATTATAACCAGGCCTTGACAGAAGTGACAGCAAAAGTGTTATGTGTGGATAGATAGCTTTCTCCCACCTTCTGCTTTTTTTTCCTTTTCTCACACCTTTCACTCTTAATGTAGATCCACTGTGTTCTGTTTTGTTTGAAAATAATTTTACAAAGGTGGTTAAGTTCTTAAGGACCAAAATAAGCCTAACACATTTTCCACCTGCCTCTCGTGAACTCACACTTCTTGTGAGGATTTCTCACCACTGGATGAGATTTCCAGCAAAGAATTAGCACGGAGGCTACCCTATGAGGATAAATGGCATTTTTTAAAAACAACCCACGTTTGCCGGTTTGCTTATGGGATGACGTAGGGCTGGTTGCAGCTTCACTGCATCTCTCCACCCCCTGAAGCCCAATTTCACAGACTAATCTTCCACAGGTTACAAAATTCAGTGCATAACCAATTGTGCAACCAGGCCCACGAAGGGGAGCTGGCAGGAGAGAGGTGGACGGAAATCATGCAACTGCCTTAGTACGCAAGATTTTTTTTCCCATTCTGAGCATAGCTCCTGTGATATATTAAGCCTTTTGTTTGTTCCAGTTGAGAGGGGCAAGCCATCTCAGATAACAAAATTAATGTATTGCTCATTGGTGGGTTTGCTGACACCCTAATGCGTCTTCACATCCTGGATATATCTCCGGGAGGAAAAAGACAGAGGAGTTACAAAAGCAGTCAATAATGTACTCAAACAACGGTCGTCGTTATGCACTCAGCACCGGCTACAGCTTTGGCAACTTCCATATTGGCATCAGATCCCTTTGTGCAGTCAGGTTCAAAACAGAACTGGCCAAACGGAAGTTAAAGAAAAAGAAGAATCAAAATACAATTACCTCTTTGGACTTTCTATGCCAGTCTTTATTTTCCTCCCCGCCTCGGTCTTTCATTTCTTCCTCTGTGATGCCCGCTTGGTTGGTATAGGTGATTGCCCGCCAGTCTCTTGGGGAATTAGAAATACTTGCTATCTTGGATTCAGTGGCGCTGTTTTCCTCCGTCAGTGACCTCGAGGACCTCCTGGTGAATAAGCTTTTCTTTAAGGCTTTGACTCGGAGACTCTCGCTGTTACTGCCGCTGGCATCTGAACAGCACCAGTCCGGATTATTTTCCAGTTTGCCACCATGGGAGGAACTGTGGCATGAAAATATCCGAGGAGAGGTACTTTCTTCCGACTGAGCTTCGCTCGTCAAAGAATTAAGATCCAGGTGGACGCTGGCTTTCTCCGGCTGCTGAATCTTTTGATCCAATATGTTTAGTTTCCCCAGGACTTGGGAGATTTCATCCCTGACGCTCGAGAGAGACTCCAGTTTCTTCTCAATCTCCCCGATCCGGAGAACCAACTTACAGACGCTGGTTTTCAGTTCATCGTCGGTGCTGCCGAGCTCCAGCCGAGAGGCTTTGTCCAGCTTGTTGCTGGCGTTCCCGTTGGAAGTCTTTGCTAAGAGGTGTTCGGGAGAGCTCTCGCAATCGGACTTCTGTATCTGAGAGAGAGAGCCCGTACTGTTGTAACAGGACGACTGCATCACTCCCGTAGAGCCACAGACGCTCATGTCGTCCAGGAAACGGAAAATGTCACTGATGTCGTCGCTTACGATTTCCGAGTCGTCGTCCGACGGCTTCCGAGAACGGTGGTCCCCGTATTTATTGGGATTCGGATGGCCCATCTCTCTGCACTTTTTGTGCTCCACTCCGGCTTGGTCTGTCTGCGTCCCCACGCTGTTGGTTTTATCCATACTTAGCAGCTGGGCGGAGGTGCAATTGATGCTTTTGTCTTTAAATTTTTTAACGGGCTCGTGGCTCTCCACTTCTAAAATGGCAGGAATGTCTTTGGGTTTATGGCTGTTGGGTTTCATGACGTAGCTGGACTGGCTCATCAGCTGTCGATCTTTTGGGCCGAGATAAGGTTGGTGTCTCTCGGCCGCTGAGAAATTGGAAGACTGCCCGTTGGAGCCTTGGTATCGCGCGTTCTCCTCGGACTGCTTCCTGTTAAAAAATGATCTCTCAAAATCAGGTACTTCTTCAGTATTTAAGCTCCAACTCTTGACAGGCCATGGGGTTGGCTTGCTGGGTTTCCCCAACCACCGCTTGGTATCTTGCGAACCAAGAACTGTGGTTGGGCCAAAATAGGTAGAAGTCTGGAGATCATCCAAGCTTTCATGCTTGACCCGCCTCTTATCTGGTATAGGGGAATAAATGGGGTTCAAGTATTGACTACTGTAGGGCATTTCAAAGCTGTGGTTGAAGAATACTGGTTTGGAACTCTCCTTCCTGCCCGGAGGGTCTACCAGATCATCCTCCCCTTTGCTAGTGGGCGATACCAAGCTGGGTGAGATGGTTAGAAGGTTATGAAAGTCCTCCTTAAAGATGTTCCGTTTCTGAATACACGACTGGACGACGAAGGGCTCATCGTTGGCAATGAAGGCTTCCTTAAGGCTGGCGCCGATTGGCAAGGAGTCTTGGTCCGATATCGATTCAGTCTCTATGTTCATGGGGAAATAGGTGCTCTGCATCTCACAAGGGGGAGAGCTGGCCATGTTATAAGAGGCCAGGGCCTGCAAACGGTTAAGAGAAGCAGCCCGGCCTTTCAGTTCCTTATTGACGCCGAGCAAAAAGTTCGGCTCCGAAGCCGGGACGAATTGCGGGCAATCTTGGCAGTCTCCCTTCCTGCATTTGGAAGGGCTCACGTTTGAATAGCCCCGGCCGAACTCTCCGTCTCTCAGTTCGCAGTTCAGGACACAGTCCACCAGGTTGCACACCTCGGTGTCTGATCGGCAAGACTCCAACGACTCTTTCTTCCTCACTTTCTCCCGGGCCACCGGGAGCTTCTCCTTGGCCAGGCCCCCGTTCATCTGTATCAGGTTGAAGATCGTCACGATGTCCGCGGCCACCATGATCTTCTTCGACTGCTGGTTGTTGACGGTGCACCTCATCTTGTCCTTGAACAAGGTGGCGGGGAAATTTGGATCCAGGCAGGCGGTGTAGAAGAGCACGCTCCGGAGCTTTGCCAGTTGTGACAAATCGAACCTGGCACATAAGGATTTGCAGAGATCCTGGTAGGAAACCGTATTCTGTTTGGTGTCAAGTTCCTCCAGAATGTTTACCAAGAACAGAGAGGAGTCCTGGCCGCCCTCCATGGCGGGTGGCTGGCAGGTTTCGCCTGTGATTTCGTTTTATCCCATTCTAAAGTGAGTGCACAAGAGAAAGCAAACAGAAAGCATGTTTAGCGAAAACAATACATTTTTAAAAAAGAATTACCTATGATATTGAAAGCACAACATGGGCTTTAAACATATCCGCCATCATACTCCCCCATATATTTATTTCACAGCTCTTAATATTTTAACCCGCTGACATTATTTTGGCCCATGCTTTGCAAAGTATGGTGGAGATGTTCTCCCAGGGGAAGCATGGGTGGCATGGTTTCAAATCTGCTTGAAGAATCGGCGGGGGGGGGAATGGGGCTGTTAGCCCCAAACGTTGTGATGGGACCTGGACTGTCCACCCGGCCCAGTTCTGAGAGTTTGATCCTGGTTTCACTTTCCTGGCTCCATCCTGCAACTCAGCCTGGGCTTTGCAATGTGCTGATGCCACAAAGCCAGGTCAGAGTGAAGGCAGAAAGCGTTCACAAAGTAAGGGCAAGTTACTAGCGGCTCCCAGAATCCCTCAGTCCGCATGGGGCTTGCAGGTCTCAACGCTGATGCATGGTGAACTTCAGGAAGGGAAGATAGGATATTTATTTATTTATTTATTTATTTATTTGTTTGTTTGTTTGTTTGTGCAAAGTAAGGGCAAGTTACTAGCGGCTCCCAGAATCCCTCAGCCCGCATGGGGCTTGCAGGTCTCAACACTGATGCATGATGAAATTCAGGAAGGGAAGAGAGGATATTTATTTATTTATTTATTTATTCATTCATTCATTCATTCATTCGTTCGTTCGTTCGTTTGTTTATTTATTTATTTATTTATTTGTTTGTTTGTTTGTTTGTTTGTTCGTTTAAAAAGATTTTTTACCTGACCTTTCTCCTTAAAGGGACCCATATATGTATAACCATTGATAATATATAAATAAAATAGATTTTGTTTGCACAACAGAATTGGTGCCTTAGACACAGAGAAGCCTCCACTGACCAAGCGCTCTCCTGGCCAACATCTCCCGTCATCCCCATCCACTTGCTCAGAATGATAGGAGTTGTAGTCAACCCCTCAGGAGGGCGAACAGGGTTTGGGAAGGCAGCTTTAGCAGACCCCTCCTGTTGCATTCATTTTTATCTTTAATCGCACACTGGGATGCAGAGTGACATGCTTTCTGTATCCTTCACTCCCGTCCTGCCCTGAGATGTGCGCCCAAGGCCATGGAAGGGAGAGCGAAGCAAAAAAAAGACCAAATGGAAAAGAAGCCACCAGGATGGGCTCTCAAGGAAGATGACGGCCAGCTGCTTTGCATGATGGCATGTTTGGCTAATGGGAAGGGAGATGTGCGTGCCCGTGTTAGCCAAACCCTGCCTAGACCCAACCTTGACATAATCGTACATCATGCAGTGTTGTTGTTTTTTTTTGCTTGCAGCCCTTTCATCGGTTCATCCCAGAAACCCAGACAAAAGGGATAGGAGGCAAATGGGCAGTAAGAACCCCTGCTTCTTTCGCCCGGCACCTGATCTTGCACCGAATTGAATTAAACTTCAGTTCCATGATATGTACAGTACCATTGCAAAGCCCTTCCACATTCTCCTGAAGCGCGCCAGGATGTAGGAGGGGAGAGAAAGTAGAACGATGACTGTCCCTGAGGAACTGAGAGAAAGAAGCCCCCTTTTGTCCATCAAAATGCTTCTGTTTGGGTGGTCAGAGATGGAACAGGAGGGGGTTTCAGGGCTTGGAGAATGAGGCAGCTTTCCAGACTTTGGCAATACAACTTTCACATTTTAAATGTGTGGGCCTCCGCTTCCCACTCCCTCTCAACTAGAATGCAGAAAAAAGCATGCCCATCAACCTGTTCCACCACACGGGCACCTTCACCTTGAACACAGAACTACAGATGTCTCGAGCCAGTGAGCCAAGCTGCGTACTACTGACAAAGGGGGAAAGAAAAACTTGATCCGAGGCAGCCGGTCCTGTACTGATCTCCCCAAATGAGTCCAGACACAGAAGATTCAGTGGGGCTTTCTGGGATCGGTTCTCTGCCCCTGTCCGAATCAAGTGTCTTCTCCAGGGCTGTCCACTTTGCAAGAAAGGACTGGCTTTGTCTTTGAAGAGAGATCGGTCTCTCCCTGACATTCAGGGTTTTTTCCCAACTGGTGCAAAGCAATCACATTACAGTGCAAAATGTGCCCCCCCTCTCTCACACACACAGCATCGCTTATAATTGGGACCTTTTGAATAAGATCCTCCTCTCTCTCTCTCACACACACAGCATCACTTATAATTGGGACCTTTTGAATAAGATCCTCCAGGCTGGAGATGGAAGAGCCTTTGACCTCTACTAGGTTGTGTCGACTATATTCCAACCTCCCTGGATTAAGGTGGGGATGCTTTAACCAAGCACTAAAGGCTGCTGGAAAACTAGGTTGCATCCTCCATCCTTCTATTTTAGCTGCCCAAGATCTGCGGCTAACAAATGCCTTTGTTTTCCCAAACCTTCAGAAAAAGAACAAAACGTTAAAAAGGGAGGGGGAGAGATAAGGTTCTCTTTAAAAAGCCCCACCTGTGCAACAGTGCACAACATGGAGATACAACACAGCTGGATCAACTAGCATCCTTTTTCCTAGTTAGCTGCAAAACCTAGGACCAATTCTAGGAAGAAATGCATCCATTTCTTGCAAAAAATTCTAGTTGAGTGACCCTACAATCACCTTCACATGAGTGAAGAGCAAACACTACCGTACAGGAGACGCATACAAGAGCAGCATTATATAAAGCTTTACTGTTTATGTGAGCTTTGCATGCCAGTATGTTTGTATTTCAACTCTGGTGGAGACAGGAAGAGAGGCAGTGTGGAGTAGTGGGTTCAGGGTCAGATTCGGATTCAAGAAGCTTGGGTTCAAAATCCTGGCTGGCCTCTGAAACTCACACACCTGTGTGTATGTGTTGAAATGGTAAACCACTCCCCTCATCTCTCGCACACCTTGGATCTTGCATTGATGTGTGCTGAGCACACACATATATGACCTTAAGATTTTGTTATCTCATAATATTAACCCATCCTCCATCTCTTGCGTTTTGCCTTCCAACCTTTCCACGAGCTGGAAAATCGAATTTGCAATCTGCCTAAACAATCCAGCTTGTGTCCTTTGATTTTGAACCCTTGATCCCTATTCATGCCCATATGGAATCAAATCAAACAGAAACTGGTGGGATTCACATCCACGTCATCTGTATGGTTTTTAGTTGAAAGAGGAGGTTAGACTGCCATCTGTCCTTATTCCCCTCAAATTTAGGGGCTACTAACGTTGTTTACTTCTCTGATCAGGGACCCCATAACACCTTCAACCTTGCAACCATCCATATGTTCACTTTACAGTAATGCGTTCAAAGGGACAAATTTTCTAGCAACTTCCAGCATAATAAGATCCCAACTCAAAACATCTCTTTGTGGACCATTTAGTTATTTCTTTGTTACATTTATATCCTGCTTTTCCACCCAAGGGTGCAAACATTTCCTTCCTGTTTTATTCTGACAATATGATTCTGCAGACTGCAAACTGCTTTGTCTGAGGCTCTTCTGAGTTAATAGATAAAGCAGACTCAAAAAGAAAAATTAAACCATGCCAACGTGCTGGAGGAAGCTCTCTCTCTCTCTCTTTCTGCTCCACTGTTTACATTTTCTCTTTTTCACCAAATCCATGTGTATCTATCTGCCGACCAAGGAAAAGGCGGCCGGCGCATGACAAAATGCGTTGTAGCCCATAAAACTGTATGCTGCAATAAATCTCTTAGCCTTGAGGCTGTGCCATTAAATGTGATTAAAACAGCCTATTTCCTGGGGAATAAGTCAGCACTGGAGGGGGAAAAAATCAGCATCATAATTAGAGCAGATGCACACACGCACACACACAGAGGGTTCAGAGCCAGTTCCAAATATTAAAAAAAAAATTGCTTCCAGTCAACCTCTCTCACACAATGGCTTTTATGCCAGGCCACTGGTTCAGGGTTCCAGCGTCCCTTAAAATCCCCAGCCAGCCCCACACACCCTGGGGCATGGAGGAGATACATGACTGATAAGGTGCCTCCTTAAGGTGATCTTTATTCTCTCTTCCCCTGCTGGTGGGAGGGGGGCAGATAAGAAGGGAGAGGGTGAAGATTTTGAAGGGAGGCAGGGGAAAGAACGACACACCACCTGGGAACTAATTAAGCCACATCTTTTGGCAAAGGTTTATCCATCGCCTCCAGCCGGTGATGGGAACTAAAGGAAAGGAGGGTTCACCTTAGATGCCACTCAGTACAGCTTCTCCTTCCACTATAATAATAATCACAATAATCATCTGCCATCAAGTCCATTCTGGGAAAGGAAAGGAGGGTTCACCTTAGATGCTTCTCCTTCCACTATAATAATAATCATAATAATCATCTGCCATCAAGTCCATTCTGGCTCATGGCAACCTTTGCAAGGGTTTTCCAGGTAGAGAATACTCATAAGTGCTTTACCCCTCCCTTCCTCTAGGGGCCGCCCTGGGATTGTGCAGCTGGCCCAAGGCCACCCAGGCTGGCACTTCTCTCCCAAGAAGCACACGGTGGGGGAATCGAACGCCCAACCCTCAGCTCTGCAAGCGATAAGCCACTGGCCAGACCACTGAAATCAAGGCTCTCATGGAAATTGACGTGGTGGCGATAGCGGAAATGTGTAGCTTCTCCTCCAACACAGCAGAAAGGGGGGGGGCTAGAGGGTGTACAACCCACTCTGTTTCCATGCACAGAGATTATTGTATTTGAGTGTCATGTTTCTACAACACACCTCCTGCAAGGCCTTGTTCCTTAAATAACCAAACGCCAACCTTCCGTGGAGAATACCACCTTTGCACCCGGTGTTTCCTCACTAGGCACCTCTTTTCTTCCCTTTTTTTGGCACAAGTTTGGAAAAAATAATAATGCATGGTGTTTCAAAGGCCATTTGCCCTTGTAGAACATAACTTTAAACTGATGGTGATGATTACGCTTATTATTATTATTATTCTG